GGGGCCCAGATCAGGCTGGTTGGCTGCCACAGTGCATGTCATAGCAACCAGTCGCTCCCGTCGTTTCGGTTGCTCCGTCATTCTGGTAGCTTGGCTTTTATATATATATAGATATGTTTCAGGTATGGATTTCTATGTTACAAGATCCATATGTTGCACTTTGTGCCCACTACCCAAAGTCAGATCTTCTATCATCACCATATGTTAGAACCCCCTTCACTACCCACGCCATTTCCTCTGGCAACTACCACACTGCTGTTTGTGTTCACAAGTTTCAGTTTTATATCCCACATATGCGTGAAATCATATGGTTCTTAGCTTTTTCATCATTTTAATCTGCAGATTGCTTACCTTGTAAATATTCTGTGTGCAGGAGGGGGGAAGACATTTTTATCCTGTTTTTCAAATAAAGAAATAGTTAAATAGAATTAAGTACCAATTTCTTTCACTCTATGTGAGGCAAAAAGCTACCTGGGGGGAAAAATAAGTAGAAAGTCAAAAGCATTGGCAGTAGTTAAAGATGATGGCTGGTTTTGACGGCTGTGGGCCTGGGTAGGACAACTACTGTAAAAACATGCAGCGAACAATCTGCTCCATTGTCCTGTCCTTTCCTGTCAAGGGGAGGGAGCGGGTGGCTCTGGACACAGGATGTCAGAAAGGAAGAGAGGAAATGGAAAAGGGAGCAGAGAGATAGAGACTCTGTGTTCCCAGTGCATATGCAGGCCCTCCCTCTTCTGTGGGACAGTCTGGGCACCGTATGTGTCCCTGTGTATACAGAAGTGGTCCCTGAGGCCCCATCGCTGTCACATTGCTGCACAATCCTCAGCTTAGGAGAACAGTGCTGGAGGTTGTTAGCACATCTCCCTCTGGAAACGAAACTGGCTCAGCAGCAACAACACAATTCCAGAGGGGATCTGTCTCTCCTCCCTCGCTTGGATAATGGCTGTTCCCTGATACCCTTCCTGGCATTGCATTGCACACAGTCCTAAACAGCTGGGCTGCTAAGATGATTTAAAGAGAAGAGAGAGTGGGCTGTTCACCGTGTGTATGTAATGTATTCATAATAAATCTCTCAATGAGGAGGTATAAAGATTTCCTGTTTTTGTACAGCCAAAGAACAGCCAAAGGAAGCAGAGCATTAGGCAGGTATCCAGCGAGTGTCATGAACAGAAACAACCAATATGGGAAATCCAGGGGGGGCTTGCTCCACATTTCTAGTAGTAACAGCATTTTTTTTTTACCTGAAATATGCTAGTAATTTTGTTGCTTGCAAAATTGTTTTTGCCTAATGATTGGTAAATATATTTTTTCTTAATAGTTACTGGATATTCTCCAGGTTCTGGAAACTACATAAAAATAAAGCATTGCTTGTCACCTTTTTTTTTTTCCTTTTTCACTTTATTTCTGAGAAGATAAAATAGTAGAAGATAAAGCCATCCCAGAATGATTTATTTTCAAGAAAATTGAAATAATAAAGCAGAAACAGTAAAGTTTTGTAAAGTTCTCTCTATATATATTTTTTTCTTTTTTTGCGGGGGTTGGGGTGAGAGAGAAGGGGGAAAGAGGGAGAGAGGGAAGCATTGATGTAAGAGAGACACATCAATTGGTTGCCTCCCATACGTGCCTCAACTGGGACCAGGAATTGAACCTACTACTCTAACCGACACTCTAACCACTAAGCAAAAGTGGCCAGGGCAAGTTCTACATATTATATAAGAAATGCATACTTTGAGGTTTAGTAAAACCAGTAACATGTGAAATAAGCATTTTAATTTGTTAAAGATAATTTTCACCTTAGAAATATTTCCTCACCAAAGTTAGAAATGTGTCTATCATGGTCACTTATACTTTATAACAATAAGATCATCTCAGTCAGAGGATGGGAACATGCTTTTGATCATTTAATAGCAGATTTGGCTCATTAATAGATGAGTTGAAATGAAGCCATATAACTAACCCATGTTGAACTTTGCAGAATGTTTATCTCATCTGTCAAGAAATCATTCCTATGGACTTTTTATTTAATAAAGTTTTATTTCTCAAAATGTATAGCTGGTGGGACCTGTTGCTCATGCATCTTCACCAACAGCTAGGACATCCCCACCCTTGGTGTTTCTGGTGTAAATTACTTGAGCTCTGTGCTTTGCAGCTAGTTTAATAAGTCCTTTACTATGGAGCTCCTGAAGGGCTGCCCTGGCTGAGGCACCACAGATATGCAGTCTCTCAGAGACCGCAGCTGGATATAAGCTTATAGTTGGGAACTTCCTTACAGAGTTTGTCATATGTTGCTTTGTCAAACAAGACTAGGTTATTGAGCTTGTCCCGAACTTTGCCTTTGGACACGTCTTCTTTTGTTCTTGCCCCCAGATTTGTTCACTGGGTCTTTGTCCTTCTTTGCCAACTTTTCAATATCTTTCTTCATATTGTTGTCCTTGAGCGGCATAGTGAACTTGAAGAGCAGCTGCTACCACGGCAGCCTCAATAAGATGTCCCCTACAGACTCATTTTACAATAGTAAAATAGTATTTACAAAAGCACAAAAAATAGTCAGAATTTTTAAACAATTCTGCCTTTCCTAGAATTTAGATGCCTATCCCAGCATTGCTGAGATGGACATCAAGTTTTTATACCCTCTGTTTCAATGGCTGTGTGAATGAAGTCGGTATGCCACCATTAAGCACTCCTCTGTGAGGGACACTCAAGCCGCCTCCAGTTTGTCTCTGTTATGAATATTCTCCAGCACACATTTGTTTTTCCAAAATTAGTTTATTTCCTCAAAATAGCTCTCCCGAAATGAAATTACTAGATCAAGTGCTACGATTATTTTCAAGCTCCTCTTTCCAAGCATATTTCTAAATAGTTTTCCAAAAGGGTATTTATTAATTTACCTTACACTAGCAATATATGAGGATTATAGTTTTACCCCAGGCTTAACAAGCTGCTAAATGCGGCATGACTTTTATTTGTGCTTATTTCATTCCTAGAAAGCATGAAAAATTTTGCAATTATTTGTTTACAATTTTTTGGTGTGTATTTGTCTCCTAATTTTTGTTTGTTTTCCTACCAATTGGCATATTTTTTACCAGGTCCAGTCTCAACTGTTTTCCTCACCTTTATTCCTCTGTGTAGGCTCCCATGATTCGTTCAGCTACTGGGTAGATGAGAAGTCCCCAGTGGGGCCTGACCAAACCCGAGCTGTCATGCGCCTTGCCAGGATCTCCTTGGTGAAGAAGCTAATGAAGAAATGGTCTGTGACTCAGAACCTGACCTTCCGAGAGCAGCTCGACGCTGGGATCCGATACTTTGACCTGCGTGTGTCCTCCAAGCCAGGGGATACCGACCAGGAGATCTACTTCATCCACGGACTTTTTGGCATCAAGGTCTGGGATGGGCTGATGGAGATTGACTCGTTTCTTACGCAGCACCCCCGAGAGATTGTCTTCCTGGATTTCAACCACTTCTACGCCATGGATGAGGCCCATCACAAATATCTGGTTCACCGGATGCAGGAGGCCTTTGGAAACAAGCTATGCTCGGCCTGTAATGTGGAGAGTCTGACCCTGCAGATCCTGTGGGAGAAGAAGTGCCAGGTAGGAGAACCGGGATGAGAGAACAGGACTGTTTCTGCCTCTTCTGTATCGCCAGCTGTAAGATGGCTCATTGCAGGGCTCTTAGTCTAGAAGGCATAGATGGTTTGGAATATTAAACATACTCACACAAGCTCCTGGGCTCCAGGATAGCTTCAAGGGCTTCCCTGGATGCCCTTAACCTGGGATGGACACCTGCCAAGTATTTAAAACTTTATGGCAACCTGTTTGGCATCTAAATTGACTTTGAATGGCCTGGCCAGAACCAGCCCTAGCAAAGTTGTGAAATGGACCAGTTGGTCATACCATTTTACTTTCTCCCATAAAGTCCACTTTTAACCCCCCTGCTTCCCCTCAGGGGCAGTCCCTTCCATCCTGCCTTCAACTCAATGTCAGATCATTCCTGCCAAGTACTGATTGATAAGTAAAAACATCAGCTGACAAAGGCATGTGAAGTGATCATTTCAGGTGTGTTAATATTTTTAAAGGCCGTCTTCACAGAATTTGGGTCATAGTGGGAAAGAACTAAGAAAGGAAGAGCCCATGGGAGGGATTCAGGCCTGGAGACTAATCCCCAGTTGCTTATGCTGAGAAGAGTCCCCAAAACTAGACCCAGGAGGGATACACCCAAGAAAAAGAATGTGGGCCTCGGATATATTCTGCTCTGATCCCCCAAAATAGTAGATAGTGGGAAACAAGAGCTCCAGGAATGGTCAGCTTCCAATTTAGACTTTCTTTTAAAAAAAAAGTACTTTTGATTCATAATTGCTCACTTGCTCAGATACATTAACCAAAACATCTTAAAGAGGCAGTTATTTCTCTTTAAAAAAAAAAAAAGTACTTTTGATTCATAATTGCTAGGATACATTAACCAAAACATCTTAAAGAGGCAGTTATTTTTTAACTTATGGAAGAGCTTTTAATTAAAAATCAATTAAAGATTATTCACTTGCAAATACATTTTGAACACCAAGTATGTGCTAAGTGAACACCAGTCTAAGCACTTGGGATAAATTAGTAAACGAAACAAAGATCCTTGCCCCTTAATGGAACTTTCATTCAGGTGGAGGGAGACAGTTCATAGATAGCAAACATAATAAACACATTCCATATAATGCAGAGAGTGGTAAGAGCCGTGAAGAAGAAAGGGGAGCTGGTGAGGGGAGCCAGGGTTCTGTGGGCTGGAGAGTTGGTCACAGTTTTAAATAGGTCTGTCAGGGCAGCCCTCATTGCAAGATGGCATGGTCGGGAGTTAATCACATGGACATTGGAGGAAGAGCTTTCCCAGGAGAGGAGCAGCCCTGGCAGAGCCCTCAGCAGGAGTGTGCCAACATCTTTGAAGAAAAGCAGGGGGAACTGGAGAGCAGAGCCAGCCATGGAGGAGGTCAGAGGAAGAATGGCTGAATATGTGGGCCTGTGGCGCTGTAAGGACTGCGCTTATACTCTGAGTGAAGGGTTCTGAGCACAAGGTACTGGCACCTGACTTAGTGGTAATGGTCTCCCTCTGGTTACCAGGAAGAGACCAGGAATAGGGGGAGGGGACAAAGAGGGGAAACCAGGGAGGAGACTGTTGTTGGGAAGTGGTCAGATTCTGAACCTATCAGAAGGGGGAGCCAACAGGGTTGCCTAATGGTTGAGGTTCAGGGTGTGAAAGGAAGTGAGGTTCTAGGATAACTCCCAGGTTTGACCTGAGTAATTGGAAACACTGGATTGTTTTATACACTCATAAAAGCGCTTAAGTCCTTAGACTCACAGAGGCTAATGAGTTAAGTCTTAGTATCTGTTAAAATTTATCTAAGCTATTTTTCCTCACAAAAACATGTGTAAGTGATGGTTTGCCAAATATTTACCACACCCCTTCCTCCAAACCTGAGTTTATATACATTTAGACTCACAGGTCTCATTTGGAGAGATTTTTTTTTAACCCTGTGGAGTCTCTCTCTTACAATATTAAATAACTGGTGCCCCAGTGCATGGATTTGTGCACATTGAAAGGAAATTAATTAGAAGGTAGCCAGCAGGGCAGGACTGGGTGAGACAGGCCAGACACGCCCTGAAGCCAACCTCCTGTGGTCCCTCCCTGGCCAGCTGCACCTGGGGCAGGGCCATGGCTTGAAGGTCGTCTGTGGAGTGAGCCAGGTCCCTTCAGCAGGTGGGGTCCCTTGACCTGGCCTGCGGGGATCGGGCCAAAACCGGCTCTCCCACATCCCCCGAGGGGTCCCAGATTGTGAGAGGGTGGTTCTCAGGTGATGCACCTCAGAATCAGGCTCCCTCCCCTCTGGTTCCAGGTGCGTCACATGAGAACCTCCACTGCCAAGTCACCGCAGCTCAGCAGCTCCTGCATTGAGCATCTTCCCCCTGGTGTTCAGTGCATGTCATAGCTATCATTCGGACAGTCACTTAGCCTTTTATATAGAGAGATAGGAATAGCAACAACAGGAACAGCTAACATTTAGTGAGCCTTTACAATGTGCAAAGCACATATATTAACTCATTTATCATTTCAATTACACTATGAGATAGGTATTTTGTTATTATTCTCTCTTTATAGGTGAGAAAACTGAGGCATAGTGAGATTAAGCAAGTTGCCCAGGAGAACATGTTAGTGAGTGACAGGAGCCAGGATTCCACTACAGGCTCCCCAGAGTTCCCTCAGCTTTTCAGGCTCTCAGGCTCCCAGGGATGCTCACACATCTTGGTGATTTTCACAACTGGTGTCATAGACTATGCTAATTAAACACTCTTTTTATTCATGCCACACCACACACACTAAATTGTTATGGAATCTGTAGTAGTAATAGGTGTCTTCAGGAGTAATGAATGGTGTGGACAGTGACTGTCTAGCAACACAGTGATGATCTATCAGAGTTGTTAAGTATGGGCTAATCTGTATCCTCCACTACAGATATGCCTAAAATTATAAAGACCCTGTGATGACATCTCAGGAAAAGGGAGAATTTCATCAATTTGAATTCTAGGCTGTCCCTGTCCCCCTTCCTTTCCAAAGTTTTCCCTGACAGGTTTCTCCTTAAAAGCAAAATGAGACAGCAGAGCCATCAGTCATCCCTCCCTGTTGGGCAGTACCCTACTGGTGGTTAAGCTTTAAATATTCATTATGTAATGAGCTGCCTTGCATGTAAGCCCCTAAGTATTTTATTACTACAATTTAATAGCAAGAAGTGTATCACCATTCAGTCACATTTTATTTACTCAAAAGCAGTTACATCACCGCTCACAGATATATATTTGTACATGAGTGGCTATGAGTTTTCAGGGTATAATGAATTCGAAAATTTAATCTACAGATTGGCAGTATTTAGAATCTTACTGAGAAAGTAAGAATACATAACACTAGCAAAATACAAAGCAACTGATATACAATTACAAGATAAAATGTCCTCAAATGTACTATATGAAGAATGGGGTTTTTGTAACCAATCAATTGAAAAATAGTACATAGTATACATCCATATCCCAGGGGCCTCAGAAAGGACCGATCAGAATAAGAGGAAGTCAATGAAGGAATAATTCTCAAAGGAAATGAGATTTTTAAATCTGAATCTCAAGAGAAAAACTGAATATAATTGCTGAGCTGGATGGGGAGAGTATCTCAGAGAAAAATACAGCAGAGTGAGGGGGGAGGCTGATGCAAGCACAGGCCCTGGACAAGAGTTACTGCCCCTGAAAATCTGTGGAATAAAAGTTGGTGTGCTAGTCCCACCTCCTACTGTAAATAGAAATTCTCCTGGAACCTTTAGGATCAAATCACTCAAGAAGGCTCTTGTGGAAAGGCATAAGATCCCTTTCGTGTAATTGGTACTTTTTACATCTTTTCCAAGGCTAAGCAAAGAGCAGCACTGTCCTCTCATTCCCTGACATTCCTTCCAGGGGCAGGCAGCCTGGTCAGTGATCAGAAGGGCCCTGTCCAAGGGTCACACAGCCCGCCTCTCCCGCAGCCCGTTCCAGGGGCCAGCTTTCCTCACTCAGGGACACTGGAGACCCCAGCCTTCCAAACCAGCTAATTACCCCGCCAGCAGGAAATCCTCCCCGATCTCCCAGACAATCTGCTTACAGTGAGCCTGTGATTAACCTCATTAGCACATGTGTTTACCACAGACAGCATTAGCAGTCAGTCCGACATTACTCAAAACCATTACAAACAAGAACAACCATTAGCCCGTTCAGGGCTCTGGGCCTGGCACTCCTACTGTAGGCCTCCAGGAGCAGTTAGCCAGGCACCATGGTTAAGAGATAAAGGCTCACAGGAAACAAAACACACATTCAGAGTCCTTTGTGGGTGCCTGGAGGATTATGCTCTCCGTCCAGCTACCCAAGGATTGCAGTCCAAGGAGTGTAAACAGCACGCTGCGTTCCTCCAAGTAGAGATCACTGTGCCCGGAGGGGGGAAAATATGTTACTTCTAGAAACCTAAGCAGCAGAGCTCTGAATTGGGACAACCAAAATAGCAACTCCCTGTCCCTCAGCTGTGTCTCAGAAACTAATTAATGCTGTAGAGGTGGCTTGCTAATTATTTCAAAATCACCACCGTCCTGAGAGGTCCCACGGGAGACCCGCGCCTCCCAGAAGTCTTCTTCCCTGCCTAGAGTACGCTCCTGCTCCCTCCTGGGAAGGGATATTTCATTCAGAATCAGTACGCACAAGTTCACTGTGTTGATCTCAACTCCTAGAGCAGGGGTGGGCAACCTTTTTGTGAGTGCATGCCAAAACCAACAAAACCTCTGACTCACAATTCTTCTGCGTGCCAACCCTAATTTTTTGAGAACATGTTACGCCTACTTGATATCTCTTAAGGTGTCCGTATGTGAAGAACCTTGAAGAAATAATAAAATTCATTCGAGCGACAAAAACACAGTATATGATGATGAAAAATACATTTATTTTTTAATGTATACATGTACACTGATAGTCCGACAGAAAACTTTATGACTCCGTTTGATATTATCAGTGGGACTTCTGCTGCTGCATCACTGATGACAGAGATTTTACATCAGGTTTATATTTCGTGACCTTCAGAGATATCCACGAGCTACTACTTTCATCCGTCAGGCTACTCCTATTACGAGACTTAACAAAATTCATCACTGAGAACAAAGATTCACAAGCGTATGTGGATGAAACCAAAACACTGGTCGGATCTGGGAAGGCAGGGAGAGTTAAGGCAGAGGCATAGAAATTGCTCTTCCCCTCTCTCGTCAATCCATGTCTATGGTCTTTAAGATAACTTGTTATGTAAAATTATTTATTTATCTAAGATGCACCTACACTGAATTTATCTGAAAAATAAAAAAGTCGATATTAAGAAAAAAATTGTAAATGGAAGATTATAAGAGAGGGTTTTGAGTGCCAGCAAAAGTTACTGGCGTGCCATGTTTGGCACGTGTGCCAGGGGTTGCCCACCCCTGTCCTAGAGCTCAGTGCCAATTTCATGAGTAGCTGAGTCATGACTTGTAGTTTCAGGGGTTCTCTGCCTGGGGTGAGGAATATAAGAAGTCTGTGAATTTAACTGAAAAGTATATACCCATAGATTATGGATGCAGTCACCCTCAGAAGTATTGGCCCTGTAACTATGACTTTACCCCTATAGAAATCACACATATCTCCATATCACACATCAGCTATTGCAGATATCTTGAAATATCATTTATACTCATCATTAATTCAAAATTATGGACCTTATACTTACCATAAAATATTTTTATTTAATGTATTTATTATGAAACACATACATCAGTTTATTACAAATTCAATTAATATATTCGTAGCTCTATTTCCATCTTATTGATTTCTTTTGTAATCCTTATTTTATGCGTTCATTTAAATCATAGCCTGAGAAGGGGTTCAGGGTTTTACCATACTTTCAAAATGCTGACAAAAATAAAGTTAAGAAGAGGCAGAGCAGCATCGAACAGACTGTCAAACTACAGCGGAAAGCCCAGGGAGGGTTGGGGGGGGTGGTGGTAAGAGATCAACCGAAGGACTTGTATGCGTGCATATAAGCATAACCAATGGACACAAGACAAATTTTAAAAAAAGAATCTTTAACTCAGACTTATGCAAATGCTTAAATCCTTGCATATTAACTTTTCTAAATATATATATATATATACATATATACATATATAACAATTCTTGAATTTCCATGTGTTAATATTTGTTTGCCTTTCCTCCTAGCAATTGCATCAAGCCAAGGAGTTGATACTCAGTTTGTTCATGACTTGCTTTACTTTTTCTGTTTTGGACATCTCAGGTTCTTATTTTCTATCACTGCCCCTTCTACAAGCAATACCCCTTCTTGTGGCCTGGAAAGAAGATCCCAGCACCCTGGGCAAATACCACCAGTGTGCGCAAACTAATCCTCTTCTTGGAGACCACTCTGAGTGAGCGGGCCCCACGTGGCTCCTTCCATGTCTCTCAAGCGATTCTCACCCCCAGAGCAAAGACCATCGCCCGAGGCCTGGTCGGTGGCCTCAAGAACACACTGGTTCACAGGTAAGAATTTGCTCCCATCTCCAGAGTAAAGTTATTTTTTTTAATGTATTTTTATTCTCTTCTGAATAAACAGCAGTAAAACCATACAGTTTGAATATTTAAAATACTGAAAGAGAAAATATCTTATTTGAAAAAGCTGTCCATTTGAGGTAGCTTGCATTAACTGAGTCCATAGGAGCTCTAAATACTTTATTAAAATGTACATATTACACCATAAATACGTTCTAAGTTTTGATGCTAAAGTATAGCCCTTGAAGCCAACACCAGCCTGTTCACCTCATCCTGTGCTTGCCACTGTCCTCTTAGCTGCCCCAAGTACTCACTTATGAAGCGTTAAATGTGACTTCTGTGCTAGCTGCTAGGGATTCAGAGATAACCCTTCAAAGATTTGGGATGTCCTTCCCCTTCCACAGTGACAATGAGTCCTAAGAAGCGGCTTAGGGTGCCACCAACCATGCTATAGCTTTAAATACTTCCACAGAGCAGACTCAATCCTGACTGTGCCATTAGGCAGGAGAATCTCCAGAAATTTTGTATTAGATTATGTTCTTTATGCTGGACACCAATAGCTGATAAGTGTTGTCAAGAAAAAAGATGCTCTCTGGCTGGTGTGGCACAGTGGTTGTGCATCCACCTATGAACCAGGAGGTCATGGTTCAATTCCTGGTCAGGGCACATCCCCGAGTTTCAGACACAATTCCCAGTAAGGGGCATGCAGGAAGCAGCCAAACAATGATTCTATCTCATCATTAATGTTTCTGTCTCTCTTCTCTTCCTCCCTGAAATCAATAAAAATATATTTGGAAGGAAAAAAAAGGAATATATATCTACATGCATGTGTGTATGTCTATATACATGTATATGTGTATGTATGAAGGGACTGTTATAAATATATTTGGATGTAGGGTATCCTTTTCAATCCAAGCTGAGGAATCTAACTTGCTTGGGTTACAAGGGATATTTGCAAAAATCACTTTGGTTCTGGAGTTCCAGGTGGTGAGCATCAGAATTCAGACAGTGAAAGATTCATCCAGAAGCATGTTCCTATTTGTCTGTTTGTCTCTGAGTCTGGATAGCATGCCTTCAGGTAGCAGGAGTTCACCTGGCAGGAGTGTGGGTAGTGAGAAACACCGGGACTTCTCTTTCTCGGTGGCAGCTCCTGATGACATGGCCATGAACAATACCAGAAACCCCTTTTTGTGGGTCTCTACTGAGTCTGGACTGAATTGCTTGTGCTGAATTTGGAAAAGAGCATTTCATAAACTAGCAATATATCTCTGAAAGATCCAGAATTATGAACTTTCTTTTCTATAATATATTTTCACTTATCCATACCATTTCCCCCATGCCCTTTGGTAAATTTGGAGACTAACATTACTTATTTATTTATTTACTTATTTATTCATTTAACAATGACGGAGAACCTAGGTGCAGCTTGGTCCACAGATATCAGATGAATAATGCAGTCTCTGCC